TGAATTTAATTTGAGGCACACTACGACAAAGTGCTCGTCAGTTAGCATTTTGATACTCACTAATAATACACATCACTCTAGCTCTTGTATTAGCAGTTGGACCGTACCCCCGTTCGGCCAATTCTTTGTAATCAACATAATTACACTAACACAATTGGGCTATTGAATCATTACCTTAGTTGATTTTCTTTCCTAGTTACTTTCATTGAGAAGCGTTTTAGTTATATTCAAAGGGTTGTGTTGGGTCTTTGGATGCAGACGAATTAACCTCAACACTCCTTAAAGACTTAGCGCATGCGAACTACAATAGATGAGCGAAGTTTGTGTGATGCTAGAAGCCTTCTCCTATGTTGATAGTTTGAACTTTATGTCTACATAAGTGTTGTAGGACTTTTTTAGACGAATCTCATGACTTCAATAATACTTCTAGTATGGCTAGTCAAACCCAGGACCAGGAACGTCCAACATAATATTTCTAGTATGGGCTAGTCAAACCCAGGACCAGGGACGTCCAACATAATATTTCTAGTATGGGCTTGTCAAACTCGGGACCAGAGACGTCCAACATAATATTTCTAGTATGGCTAGTCAAACCCAGGACCACGAACGTCCAACATAATATTTCTAGTATGGGCTAATCAAATCCAGGACCAGGAACGACAAACATAATATTTCTAGTATGAGCTTGTCAAACCCAAAACTAGGAATGTCCAACATAATATTTCTAGTATGGGCTAGTCAAACCCAAGACCAGGAACGTCCAATTTAACTCGTATGGGTGGAAGGATGACCCAGGCTCAGGAAGGCTTAGTATAACACTCAATAGGTATAGATATAGGACAAAGCTTGTAGGCTAGATATCCGGGGTTTATTTTAAGGAAAAGGGTGAGAGTCCGAGGACTATATCCTTATAAATGTTTTGATTAAAAAAAATGACCCGCGGGTCAGATATTTTACAAGTATATACTATGGGTATTATCTTGTGTAGTGTGGGGTAGTGTAAACTATGCCCTTATATGTATATGTATTACCTATTTTTGGGTCCTATACTTGAAACGTTAGTTATCGACCATATAACCTGTATGTCACCAGTACTTCTTTTTGTGGAGTACTGACCCCTTCCTGGGGCCCTCGATATTTTTCAGGTCGAGACTAGAGTCTGCTTCCTGCACCATTTTTTGGGTGATCAACTAACGAAAGACGTGGTTCGGGCTTCCTGTTCCTGTTTTCAAATATTGTAACCACTCATGGATATTTCTATATTATGTTTTGTAAACATTTTGGAGCCTGCATGCTCGTAATTGTCACGTGTGACTCATTGCCAAACAATTGTATTATGAACCTTGTGTAACTCCAAAATTTATGTTGCTTATATGTGTTTATTGACCGAATTGATAAATGCATCTTCCGGGCGCCTTGTACAATTTGATAAGGACGACTGTGGTTATCCTTGTTGGGTTGTACGGTGGTTGTCTACGTGTCACGAACGCAATCCGAGGCATGAGATATATAGGGGAGGAGGAGCCTTTGTATTAATTATGCACTAAACACACACTTATTGTGTGAAACCGCTCATTATACATACACTTATTGTGGTGTACTAGTCTTAAACGTTTCAGGCCATTACACACGCAATTAAACAATGCATTAATCACGCATTTCAGTTTCAGAACGTTAACCAACGTTCAAAACACTTACAGTTCGAAGGAGAAATTAAAACATTCAATAACCGACGGTAGTTCTACATTTAATTCTACATTCGAAATTTTTTCAATTTTCTTCATCTCAACAAGTGAACTTCGAGAATCAATTTCTCATTCACCCATATCTGTTTTGAGTGTACCACATGTCGAATTGAGCCTCTTAAAAAGGAGAATCTGAAACCACTTCCACCTGACCCAAATTGAAAGTGGACCCCACTCAAAATACTGACCGAAAATAGTCATTTCATACAAATTTTCCAACACTACGCACATGTCCAAACCACCGCAAATGAGACTCCTGCATCTTATCTTCTATAGGTGCAACTCCTACCTTTTGTTTGATTATCTTATTACTCAAGCTGTCTTTTCTAGTATGTCCACACATCCGACGCCACATACGCATCTCTGCCACACTCATCTTTTGAATGTGACATTGTTTCACTGCCCAACACTCTACGCCATACATTAATGCAGGCCTAATTGTTGTTCGATAAAATTCACCTTTCAGTCTTTTTTTTTTCATACCAATGTTTTTTTCACAATAAAAGTGAATTTTATTGAAAAGAGTAAATAGTACAATCTGAAAAGGAAATAAAGAAACAAAATAAAACAGTACAGAGAAAGTAAAGCCTAAAATTACACCCAAGCTAGGAAATTCTCTAGATTGTGACCTAACCTTCATGCTGTGGCGCCTCTTATTCTTTTGAGATTTCCTCTATATTTTGATTTGCGTGTTTAGGTTGTCCGTTGGCAGACAATTTTCTGAGGTAACAAACTTGGATTTTTTGCAAATTGCTAGTCGGCATACTTCGATCGCATAGAAATCCTGATGCACTCTTCCATTTCACCCACCAGCTCTGATTTTATGGGATACATTTCCATCTAATCCACCATCCTTCTGAATTATGGAGCTCAAGTAATGAAACATATCACACACTGGTATCTCCTTACCATCAAAAGTAATCTCATTGTTGCTACTACTTCTACCTCCACCAAGCTTGCACTCCATTTTCCGAGTCTTGCTTCGGCTTAGTCTGAAACCCTTGGTCTCCAATGTTTGTCGTCATAATTCCAACTTTGCTTTAACACATGATTGTCTCATCAATCAACACAATATCGTCTTAATGAGACCAAGTGTATAAAAAGCAATATCGTTTCTGGCTTTCCTTTTTATTTTCTTCTCATATTTTAGATTAATCCGATGATTACATTAATTTCCTACGATGGGAATCTGAAATTGTCTATATTTTCACCTAAAAATTATATTTTCACAATATGAAAATGTCTTGTTTCTATACAAAAATGTCATTATCATGTCAATACTCATATCAAGTTGCATTCTCGCTGGAGGTTGCAGGAACTTGCCACGCAACGACGTTTCGCGGAAGGATGACGGCGGCGAACACAATGAACAACAGTGGTGGCGGTTGACTTACTAAAGGGTGGATGAGGCCAAGGTTTAAAAAGGCGGGTTCGGATATCGAGGCGGTTTGTTCCGGAGAGGCGGGGCGTAAGCCTCAAGACGTAATTAGGCGTAAGACTCAAAATATACCAATAGATTAAACATATAATAGTTAAACTAATAATAAACAACTAAAGAAATGGATAATTATAAGTCCATAACGTATCAAACACAAACACAAGTATAAACACAAGCCATTCATCATCAGATGGCAAATAATCAATCAAAATATTTTCCCCATCATTGGTTAGGGATCTTAATATAAGGATTCCATCTTTCATCTTGTAAAACCTTGACCAGTTCTAAGGGAAGATGACCAACAGCTTAGTACAAGAAGAAAGAGGAGAGAAGGAGAAGAATAAGAGATGAAGAAGAATGGACTATTTGTAAGTTGTCTACTTCGTAAAGGAGTATGAAAACTTCTGTGTGCAGAAATATGCAAACATTTTAACAATTACTGAATAATTTAAATGAAAAAAGACTTGTTAGGGGTTTAGTTTGGACTATGGGTACATGTTTCATGTATGGGCCTTTTATTAAATACTACTTAAATTAATCCAGGGATTTAAAAATATAGAAACTAAGAAACTCACGCCTAAAAAACACCTCAAGGCGTACGACTCAACTTTTGAGGTGTAAACCTCTTGACATACGAAAAGACCTAAGCCCTGATACCTTCTCTATACGCCTCAATTTGAGGCGCGCCTCAAAACCCGCCCTGTAAGCGCCTTTTTAAACCATGGATGCGGCCCAGTGTGTATTGTGTAAATGTTAAAACGAGGGCATCGACGGAGGGCTGGGAGCCTGAGATTTTTTTTTTTTTTTCATTAAGGGTAATGTTGTCATGTTAGTACATATTTAGTCCTATAAAATATAGGAGTCCTATTTTTGCACTTCAGCATTGTTTTAGTCCTACGTAGGTGGGAATTCTCTCAACATAGATCGATGGCTATAGGCCTATAGCTACTATTTGCAGTTTTCCCGTAAGAGACCCTCAACTTCATTATCTTCATCACACACCAGTTAACAACATTGGTCTTGTTTGGCAATCGGCTGTTAGCTGGTTATGACAGCTGATTGACAATAGCTGGTTGTGTCAGCTGTTTTAGTTGGCTGATTATTTTAGCTTGTGGTCATTAAATGTTTGGTAAATTAGTTGTTTAATAATAGTTGTTCGCATGTAAAAAGACATATAGGGACATTAGTATTTTATTTATTTATCTAGCTATTGCTTATGAAAATAATATTACCTACATTTATTTACAGAGTATAAATCATTCAAGTTTTTGAAATTAATGAATAAAACAGCATGAAAAGTAAATTAAATCAAAATTAACATTTTAATTTAATTTGAATAATATGAATTAAAAAAAAAAACAAGTTTATTTGTAATTTTTAAAAAATGGCTGGGCGATTTCACTAAAGAAGGCGCACACCATGTAAGGCTCTAAGCATATCGATGCATATGTGTGCGGCTATGCGGCGATGTTATTTTTGGCTGTCGTGCGAACTGTGAAGCATAAGGATTAATTAGGTATAAAATAATTAGATAGCAACCAGCCAAGCACAAACGCTGGCATTGCTAGCGTTTTGAAGATCAGCTTTTGGGGAGCAATAAGCTAATCTCACCAGCCATTTACCAAACATAAATTTTGACAATTTAGCTTGTCAACTCAATTAAAAGTGGCCAAATAAGCTGAAAAATGGCTGATAAGCCATTTATCAAACATGGCCATTATTTTATCAGTATTTGTTAGTTAACCATTCGCCATTGTTGATGATACGGAATAATATTAGCCATGAGTTTAGATGAAATCCTGAACCAATAGTCTTTCATAAATGGAGGCAAACGAATCTAAATAGTCAAACAATTGTACATGCAATGTGATGCAGCTGTAATTTCCATGCAAACCCTACATTCGAATCCTTGAGGGTATGTTAATAAGTTTGGAATGAAAGGTGATTGAAATGTTGTGGAATAAAAAAAATAGATCAGACATCCCCTTTTTATTAGACCAAGCAATAAGCACCCTAAACCCCTCCATCCAAAAAAAGATCAAGAGGTTTTGCCAAGCAGAGAAGTTAACTTTGATTTCTGAAAATTTGAAATGTGAGATTGATGATCCCTCGGGCAGTTTTAGACAGGAGAAAGTTTGGTCACATCCCCTCATAGCAATCGATAGGGGTGTTTGGAACTGATTCAGAAGCTGGTACCCCCAACTTCTAAAAAACTGATTCTGGAATTTCTCAGAGTAAATTAGAGCACTTCTGGAATTTCACTCAAACACTCCAACTTCTGATCCATTAAGGAGCAGAATCAGTTTTGAGAATCAGATCCAAACACCCTCATAATCTTGCTCAAGTAGGAAGCTCGATGAAGCATTAAATAGGATAACATCACAACAAAGCCCCGGCCCATGAAAACAAGAAAATTACACAGCATTCATAACTCACAACACATGTAGCTAGATATAGACATTAAGGCCGGCCAAATCAAGATCAAAGTCGATTTGTTTTACCGATTCAAACTTCTCTAGAAGAAGAACTTTGCAGGGATATATTGTTAAGCCTCTCCAACGCTAACACAAGAGCTTGAGTTCCTAAATGGCCTTCTCCGTGAGCCTTGAGTGATAGATAAAGCTGCTGTGCCAATGCTAACCCAGGCAGTGCCAAAGACATGTTCTGACACTCTTTTAAGCAGATTCCCAAATCTTTAACAAAGTGATTCACATAAAACCCCGGATCCATATCTCTGCTCACTATCCTCCTCCCATACAAGTCCAGTGATTTTGATCCTGCGGCTCCCATTGAGATTGCATTCAGATATAGATCCAAATCCAGACCTGCTTTGTGGGCATATATAAGGCCTTCGCATAGCCCAACCATGGTCGAAGCTATGGTTATTTGATTTGCTAGCTTGGCGAATTGGCCTTTTCCAGGGGTGCCCATGTAGTAAACCCTGCCCATGAGGGAAAGGATAGGAGAGAGCCGCTGAACCAGGGTTTGGTCCCCGCCGGCGAAGATTGAAAGTGCTGCGTTGCGGGCTCCCCGGTCGCCGCCGGAAACGGGGGCGTCTATTGCGGAGCAGCCGGCGGAGGTCGCAGCTGAGTGGATTTCGACCGCGAGAGAGGGATCAGAGGTGGTCATGTCGACCACGACGCCGCCTTGGCTGAGGCCGGAGAGTGCGCCGGACTCGGGATCGAGGATGACGTGTCGGACGTCTGACGGGTAGCCGACGATGGAGAAGACGACGTCCGATTTGGAAGCAACAGATCTCGGGGAGTCAGCCCATTGCGCCCCCATGGAAATGAGCTCTTGAGCTTTGCTCCGGGTCCTGGTGAAGATGGTGAGCTCATATCCTGCCTTTATCAAGTGGGAGCACATAGATCGGCCCATTACGCCGGTGCCAATCCATCCCAGACGGGCCATTGAGCGGGTAAGGGCGGCCACGCGCGTAGGGAGAGAGTGTGAGCTTTGAGCCCTTGAGTATCTAGATAAACAGATACTCCGCAGTTGGTTTCATCTGATGTCTATTCATATGCCGACTGCTACAATAGAATAGCATCTATCGAGATTACACTAGTGTTTGTGTTTGCTTAAAATAAGTGTTATGTTTGTTAAACACAACTTCTAATTAAAAAAAAAATACTTTTAAGTTAAAATCTAGAAGCTAGGATATATGTGCTTTTAACTGCTTCTAGGTTTCTTTTGTAAACAACTCAACTTCCAAGGATAATTATAATGACACCCAAATCCCAAAATGCCCTTCTGCCCTTTTTCCTGCTACGCTGCATCAGACTGCAATTCTAGATTTTTCTTCTTCGATTCACCCCAGAACTACTAAGGAGTCCCGATTGGAGAAATAGGCAGCTCCCACTCTCACACCCCCTATTTCGCTCACCAGCTGTTTTCCAAATTCTTAAATCTTCATCTTCGAATATATATATATACTAGATCTTTACCCGTGCGTTGCACGGGATGCATATATTATATGTTTAACCATGTCATTAGATGACAGTGGAAATCTAATGAATAGTTAAATAACTCGGATTTACATATGTTAAAAATTTGGAATGAATTTTTCAGAGCGCAAAGTTGGATAAAGTTGGGATCACTTCGCAATAATAAAAATACTTTTCCTCAGATATATAAATATTTTTTTACGTATTTGTGTTTATAAAATATACTACCTCCATCCCACTAACATTGGGACATGAGGAGGTGACAAAGTTATTAAGAAAAGTGAGTTTATGTGATTGATATTGAATTGATAGAGTAAGAATGATTTACATCCACACAAATTTTACCAAATTTGGTATGAGACAATCTAGTGGGACTTCCTAAAAAGAAAAAATTGGACAATCTTAGCGGGACGGGGGAAGTAATAACAAATGATTCATGCAATTGAGGAATGCTAAAAATGTTACTGATCAATTTTTTGTAAACATCCAATAAGCAAAAACATTAATTGATAGTATAACTTTAAAAATCAAAATTTTCACATTATAATTACTAATTGCTAACTATTAATTTACACATTATTGTTTAGAGAAAATGAGTATGAAATAATTAAATATGGAAACGCAAGCCACACCTTGTTATTTTATATTATTATAGAAGACTATTGTTATTAATAATATAACTATTACTGTACTGCAAGACAATAACAATGATGTTTTTAATTAGACTAAAGTTTTATGATCGGGTCCGCTTAAGTTTGGTCTGATGACCTAAACTGATCTGGTCTAGTAAGTGTCAGATGTATGCATATTTTACTAACTTATTCTGATCAAGTCTATTGTATTTAAATTTGATCTGATTTGGTGTAGTTTCTTTTAATCTGGTGTGGTCTAGCTTATAATTGAAAACATTTAAATCAAAATATGGTAAACGTTCTGATTTTTTTCTTTGCGTTAAGTGAAATCCCGCCAATTATGTATCACTATTATTATATTATAATAAAAATAATTATTATTATAGATATCATCATCATCATTATAGATTATTTTGAAATGAAAATATTCCAATTACTCCAATATTCATATAACTTTTATTTTTTAATGGATATGAAGCATTAAATGTCTAATTAGAGGGAAAAGCAAGGTGTCACACCTTGTTACTTTATACGGAGTATTATTATAGATTATAGATATGTCCTTGCTCCTAGCTACTGTTTTGCTCTTGCTTGGGTTGGTTTTATCTTCTTTTCCGATATGATTTTTCTTTCTAGTTTGGCTTCTTTTTATTTTTTTTGGATGAAATGTAAATATGTATTAACACCCAAGGAAAACCTATACATCAAAGGGTTCTAGATCTCCTAACCCCCCCCCACCCCTACCTAGTGTAGGGGTTAGAGGAGGTTTTAATTTGATCTATCAAAGTTCAAAATCAAATAGGCCTTAGTACATAATACCAAGCTGCCCCTAACAAAAATACATCGGTGCTGCCCAAAATGCACGCACACAGATCATAGTAGTTCAGGTCAAGCTAAGGACCAAAAGTGCAAAAACTTCAAAAAATTGCCATGTGCAACTTCGTGAATGGCGCATCCTCCTCAAGTGTAAGGTGGCCTCCCAGCCTCAAAACTTGATCAAGTCATGTGGGTACAAGGAAAACAATATCTTATACACCACATGTTTAATCTTCGAAATAATTTCCTCTTCGGTCTTCACGCAGTCATCAAATCTACAAGCGTTTCTTGCCCGCCATATGTGATATGCTGCGGCGCAAAAGGCGAGTTGGACTGCTTTGGCCTTCAGGGTTGAGCCTTTATGCTTTTTGAGAATCCACTTGACCGAACTTTGCAGGGTGGTCATCTGGTTGGCTTCTTTCTAATTCCATGGGCATGGTGAGCATCTTCACAATCGGCAAATTACGGCAGAGAAAAGACACCGCATGGGTTGGGTTTGATCCTGAATTCCTGATCCCAATCTGGTATCCTTTTTAATTTTACAAGGTTGTTTTGGTAATTTAACAATGTATTATATCACAAATCACTTTTTTATCAAACACTTCAACTTCTACATTTTAATTAAAATCACTTCTACTTACAAACACTATCAACTTTTACTACAAATCACTTTTACAATAATCTATTAAAAAAACCACTTTTAAAAAGCACAAACAATCGCAAACACTCCCTACATCATATCAAACTATAAAAAAAGGTAGAATTCCGCAACAAAAATGATCTTTGTACCCACTCTTATACCCACTTTTGTACCCATCTATGTTTGTGAAGTTTTTTTTATTGTCTGTGAACCCCGGCTCACAGACAATATTTTGCACAGACAAAATGTTGTCTGTGAACCGTGTTCACAGACAAAATGTTGTCTGTGAACCCATCTATGTTGGGTTGTTTTCTAATATTTGTCTCTCTTTCCATTTTTGGATTTTTTTTCAATAAATATACCCATTTACCCTCATTCTCTTTCCTACTTTTTCATTCTCTTTCCTACTTTTTCATTTAAACACAAGTCACTACACCTTTTACATTACCCCTATTATTTTACTTTTAAAACTTGTGCCAAACCCTATAGGGCCAACTAATGGAGAACGGAGGGAGTAATTGTTAGCCATTTTCATTAATTAAATTCTTGGAAAATTATTTCTAACTTGTCTATGAGATTAGAAAATAATTTAAGCCAACCATATTAAAGCACATTAATAAGGCCTAGAAATAGGATATTTTAATGAAAGGGATTAACATCTTGTCTATGAGAAATAAATTCAATTGCTTAAATAATGAGTTTAATTGGTTAATGAATTTGGCTATTTTTATTAATTTAAATATTGGAGAATTATTTCTACCTTGTCTATTGGATTAGAATTTAATTTAAACCAACCATTTTAAACACATTAATGATACCTAAAAATAGGATAAATTAATGAAAATAGTTTCTATTCTTGTCTATGAGGAAAGAAATTATTAGTCCAATTTTAATTTTAATTTCCCTAATTACTAGGTCCAAGAATTTATCCATTTCTAATTACTCAATTCATTGCCCTTCTTTTATCATTCCATTTAGAATTTAATATGTCTTTCATTTAGTTTATATTTGAGCCATCATCAGTATTTGCATAAATTTAGTTAGTCTCTTTTTCAAAAGTAGTTTAGGAAATCAATCAAAAGTTTTAATTTGGAAAGCTTCCAATAATTTGCGATAACCTGTGACTGGACATAAAATCAAGAAACTCCTCCACCATTCCTCAAGAGACACGATACTCGGGGGAAAACCGAAAGGTTAGACTCCGTTTTACTACAACGCCGCGAAAGCGGTTATCAAATGGCGTCGTTGCCGGGGAATGGTACACTGATTTCTTGATTTTGATTTTGGCATGGGCGAATTCAAGTTAGGGAGACTATCTTTTTCTTTTTTGTTACTTTCTCACGTGTTTGCTTGAGATTTCCTCATGGATTACTCAAGTGAACGCTTTCATTCTCAACCACCATATCACTATCCATACTATGAACAACAAAGTTTTCAAAATAATCAAAATGAAGGATACTATGGACAAGCTTATGAGGATAACAATCAATGGTGCGAATATCTACCTTTGGGGTATGGATATTACCAATTTCAAGATAACTATTTCCACCAAGGGCAAAACTTTGAATGCTATGATGATTTTTCCTATCAAGGTAATTATCATGATGATTTTAATTATCATGAAAATTACCACGAAAGGCTAGAAAACCATTACACCAGCACAAACGAGTACTCTTCGAGAATGACTCTGGAATTTCACCTTATCCTCAACACGAGCTCGAAGAATTAAAATCATCCTTACTCGATTTTGTGGAAGACTTAAGAAAGGCAAGGGTTGAACTGGCATCTCGTGACGAGAGTATCAAAGAACTGTTTGAAAAATTCATTTATGACAATGACCACAAAGTTCAAGAGGAGTAGACATACGAGGAAGGTGCTAAATCTGAGGAGGAGGCTGCAGTAACTATGGGCGAGACGGTTGAAACTCTTTTCATCCCTATTTCTTTTGAGCCTCTCATTGCTACTGAGCTAGAGCCTGTCCTCGTAGAACTTAGTCCTGAAGAGCCCCATATGAAAGTGCCCAATGAGGTTGATGAAGAAACCATAGATGATGAGATATTTTGTGACGATGAACCTACCCTACAATCTATGGATGACCTCTCACTTAAAGAGTCCCTGAAAGATAGCCTTGATGAAGATTTTGATCCTACACGAGCCCAAACGCCTATTGAAGTAGTTGATGAAACTGGTGATGTGGAGGAAACAATGCCCGATGATGCCTTCTTTGATTCTCTACTTGATGACTATGAGCATAATTGTGCTGGGCAAGGACTTGTTTGCCTAGATGATATGTGTGGGAGTAGTGAGCAAGGAAGTTGAGATGCACTTTTAGAGAGTGACACGTAGTTTGAATTTTGTGATGTAAATGTCGAGGCCATAGTTAAAGAAGAAGAAAACCAAAAAGGGGAGCCTAAGACTTTTACTCAAAATGTTCTTACCATGGTGATCCCACTTGAGTGATTTCAGGCACCAGAGGCACCCAAGCTT